CAGTTACCAGGTTCTCATTTGCATAATTGCTGCTCAGCAATAACCCTTCTGTGGATTTGGTTGTTGCTCGGCACAACTGTTCATGTGTTGACAGTAAATGCCATTAACCACATTTTTATAAGCGGATGAATACGTGACACTATGGCCCTGGGATGTATTGCCCTTCTGGGAAGTGATGTGTGCATGCATGCTGGAGGCTTAAATTGCTGTTTCTGGCCCTTTAATGCCCAAAGAAAGGATTTGTACTTTTAAACTGGCACTTCGGATGCAGTCGAAGTCGTGGAAGGTGTCGAAGTCGTCGAAGTGGCCGCCATTTGAATACCGAACACGTGGCGGCAGCCATTTTAACTAATTCGAACGCAGTCAGCGGTGTGTGCAGCCAAATCTATGGAACTGTATCCGGCTACCCAATTGCACGAACACCGCTAACCCGTACGTTCTACTCTACTTTGACACTGCAGCTGGAGACGATTCGAACGCTCGTTTGAATGGGACCTAGTCATTTTCTCGGTGTAAAATAGACTGACCGCACAGCCCAAATCCATGGAACTGTTTTGGGCATGAAAATGTGCCTGCGGTTGGTCAAAAGTGACTTATATGTATCTCCCGAACAGCTGAACATATTCAAATGATTTTTGGGTATGTTTGTATTTGGAATGTGCTGATTAATAATATGTGACTTTTATTAATATTGGATGTATGGTTTTAGAGTTATGAAAGTTGGGTAAAAAGTATGTTTTAAAAGGTATGGATAATTGGGTTACCTCTCAGGCTAAGGGGAGGAGATGTGTGGGATGTAACCATTGTGTGATTGGGTATTGTATAATTGTCCGTGGGCGTCTCCCTTGCAGGGGAGAATTGCATAAAAGCAGAGTGTTTGTCATTAAACTTCAGATCATCTTGATGCTCAAGACGTAGCCTTGTCTCGTTATTGGAGGGAACTGCTATATCACACTGGGGATTGCTATGCTCTGCATACTCCCCTGAGCTTTAATCACTTAGCTCTTTTAAGAGCTTGTTCCTGATACGCTCTCCTGGAGGAGAGGTCTTCCCCACACGGTCCTAGAGGACAGAAGCTGATCTAGGGTGGATGGAAGACGGCGAGGCTCCAGTTAAGCTACGGCGGTTGTGGAGTCTGTGGCTGTTGTGGTGTCCTGTGCGGTGCTTGTGGTCCTCAGTACAAGCTAGGAAGCGTCCATTAACGGAAGGTTCCATTACACTTATCTCCCCTTATCTCCCCTGAATAATCAGGCTTTGTCACGGGACGCCAAGTAGAGGACAACACCAGACGAGCACTAGACATAATGGAACTCATGAACATAGACAAGACACAAGGCCTAATGCTGGACTTAGACAGGCTCCACTGGGGCTATTTGACGGAAGTCCTCTGCATATTCAACTTCCCAAATTTATAAATGGACTTCTCTCCCTCTGCTCTTCCCCCCCAAGGCACAGTCATGAGCTCCGGATTCACCTCCAGACACTTTGTCCTGACAAACGGCATGCAGCAGGGATGCCCACTTTCACCCCTCATCTTCATTTTGCCACTGGAACCTCTAATCCACAAGATCAAGAAGACCCCCGGATCTCAGGCATCCCCTCCCCGATAGGCTCCCAAAAAATAGTGATATTTGCCAATGATATCCTCCTCCTAACAAACCCCACGACTCTCTCCCAAATCTTCTAAACCTGCTCCACGTCTATGGTCGAGTCTCTTACTATAAAAACAATGTGGTGAAAACCCAAGTTCTACCCCTGAACACACCCCGAACCCAACTCGCCTCTTGGCTGGGACGCGTAAACACCATAAAAATGATCATCCTACCGCAAATCCTATTCCTCTTCAGGGCCCTACCTATTGAACTCCCAAAACGCAGTCTCCAGACATTCCAACGCCTGCTCAATGTACACATCTGGAAAAAGAAACCACCTAGGGTCTCTCTAGCGAGTCTCAGCCTGAATATGGGAGGAGGAGGCGTTGGGGTGCCCAACATAGCCAAATATTACTTAGCAACAAACCTGTCTCAGATGTCACGCCTGTCATCCCCAGACTACCCAATATGGCATCAACTAGAAAGCGCAATCAGTGCACCACACTCCCTCATAGTCCTAATTTGGGTCCAGGCCTAAGCCCAACCCCAACACTCCAAATCCCTCACAACTACACGACTGTCTCTCCAGATGTGGCTACGCTGGGCCCCAAAAATACTCAATGAACCCATGGAGGCCTTTGCTCCATTAGCTAGTTTACCATACCAAACAAGTGATTTGCCCTTGAAAGTTTGGATTGAAAGGGGAGTGACCAAGCTATCGCACCTAATAGGAGCTGACGGGTTGCTACCATTTCCTGAGCTCCAACAACTTTATCTCCTCCCTAGTAGCGAACTATTCACATACCTACGCATAAAACACATCATTAGAGACACACAACAGGTGACAAAACTCTAAAAAACCCAAAACCCTTTTGAAAAGAACCCCCCAAAAAACGCTCTCCTTATGCTACCTAAAAAAAAGCAACACGCTGCCTTGATCATGTGGAGGTAGCCTACAAGATATGGATGAGGTGGTATATCACATCCCAGAGATTAGCTCAAATTTACCCAGGGGCACAGCAAATGTGCTGGCACTGTAGCCAACATGCAGGCACCCTGAGCCACATATTTCAGTACTGCCCTGCACTTAATTCCTACTGGAAACAGATCCTAGGGCTGATAGAATTGAAACTGAAAAAAATCCTACCACTAATACCTGAGTACTACCTGCTCCATATTCTACCTAAAGGGTTTACGCTATATGAAGCAGCTCTGATCATCCACATTACACTAGCTGCAAAAACCTGTGTAGCCGCCCTATGGAAATCACTCCCTGCGCCAGATATAGCGATAGTTATTGCTAAAGTGAGTCACACACAACAATACGAAAAAATGTCACACACAATAAGTGGAACCCTAATGCACTATTACCGAATCTGATCTAAATGGACAGAGAAGGGCACTTTAAACCAAAAGATCCCACTAGGAACGTAACAAAACCACCCTGTAACATGCCATAGAGAAGGAGTCATACCGCATTCCACACCCAACCCACTAAAGTCAACAACGATGTAGTTGGCAATGATGAAGACACCTGCTCAAATGCACTGCAACACTGAAAGTGATGTAACAGAGTAGCATCTCATATACCCCATCCCCTCCCTAGCTTGACCCCTACACCCCTTTTCTCCCAAAGGGTTTTTTGTTTTACTTGTAAGACCCACAAACAGAGGTGACTAGCACTGCAGATGGTTTACTCCCATACTTTATGTAATGTTGGAATACAAAAATAGCTGACCGATCCTGACAACTCAAACAGATCACCACTATCACGGGTACCTAATGGCACTACAGGATTTGACAGACATACCAACGCTTCGCTGCACTGGAAGACACGAGACGCAGAACAAACGTGAAAATAAGAGGCATCAAAGAGAATGAGCTGAAATACCCCACCTCCTTCAGCGTCTATTTACCGAATTGCTGTCCCCATGACAGGGTAAGATGGTGGGCCTGGAGGGATTCGTCCACATTCCCAAGTCGCCCAGGGCTCCAAAGGAGACCCCCAGGGCAGAACAAGCCCCACACAGATGGAACCCTGCTACACCCCTAGAGAGCCCCCGCGGACAACGCAGCAGCGTACATTACCTGTACAAACGTGTGAACTGGTAACCACACCAGGGTTCAATACCATTGCCTGTTCTTCTGTTTAGTGCTCCGTTTTAATTTTTCATTGATTTAATGTATAATTTTTCATTATTTTAAAGCGTGATTGTAGGTAACATCATACCTTTGCTTTGACCACCCTCAGTTCATGGGGATACTCAACCAAAGATATATGCCCCCACCCCCTGCCTTTAACCCTTTAAGGACACATGACATGTGTGACATGTCATGATTCCCTTTTATTCCAGAAGTTTGGTCCTTAAAGGGTTAAACAGCATCATGAGATAATAGTGCTATACAGCCTCATCAAAGGTGTTAAACCCTAAACTCTACTAACCACACTGTATTGAAGACCAGGTCCTCCCAATTCACTATGTGAGACCCCTGTATTGACCACACAAAGGGAAACAACATGGGAAGCCCCCTAGTACCTCACATTTGAAGTATTCAAATTAAGTCTTTCTTTTATATATTTAGCTTCTACATCATCATAAAACATAGAAAGTTAGTTTATAGAATGTATACTTCTAACACATATTGTCATTATTGTTGACTATTGTGCAAGAACCTGTCTCAACGATCATTCTTATGTATTGTGAAATATTTTTTTTCTGTGAATCGACACAAAAAATATAGAATGAAAACACATATAAACTAGAAGTGGAGCGCTTCCAGAAAACAACAGGGAGATATCTTATCCTATTGTACATGTAATTTACAAGGAGTAAAGTCCACAATATATGTAAAATAAAAAGGAACACTAATAATATATAGTGGAGATTGTATGTTATAAAGTGCAACAGAAAAATAGCAATAAGTACACTCACATGAACATGAGCCTAAAAATAGAGACTCACTTTATATGCACGTGTGCCTTCTCAGGTAGCACTTCACCTTTCATCAAGTGGTATCTCCTTTCATAAAATATGGACAAGAGCTAGTGCAATAGATGCAGGATCGCCATCAGGGCATGACAACCATAACGGTTGTCATGGGCCCGGTGGTCCTGGGGGGCCCGGACTGCAACCTGGTATGTACCCACTGTGGCCAGCCTCTTCTCCTGGGGGGCCCAGCAGCCGGTCACCTCAGGGCCCACCAAGGCTGGCCCTGGTGTCACCCGGTGCGCCCGCGAGGAAGCACTCTCCCTGGCTGAATTCCTGTCCAGCTCCCTCGCGCACCGCACTGATGCCGGAGCAGAAAGATGACCTGCTCGGCTGTCGGGTGACACCACTGGACCCCAGGGAATCCTCTCAGCACTCCCAAAGGTAGGGAGGCTGGGGTGATGAAATTTAAAAAAGTGTGTGTGTTAGTGTGAGTGTGTGTTAGAGTGTGTGTGTTAACACACACTCTAACACACACACACACTAACACACACTAACACACTCACACTAACACACAATGCTTTCCTATGGACGTTTAGCGTCTTCTCACTGTGATTTTCACAGTGAGAATCGCGGAAGCTCCTCTAGTGGCTGTCAATGCGACAGCCACTAGAGGCTGAATTAACCCTCGGTGAAACATAGCAGTTTCCCTGAAACTGCTATGTTTTCAGCTGCAAGGTTAAAACTAGAGGACCTGGCGCCCAGACCACTTCATTGAACTGATGTGATCTGGGTGTCTGTAGTGGTCCTTTAAGTGTATCTGCATGCACTGGCATACATGTGTAAGCACGCGCGGGGGGGACCCACGGATCAGTTTTCGCACCGGGACCCCATGGGTTGTGTGTACGCCACTGCCCACATTAGCTATGTGCACACATATATAGCGAATAACGCTATATATGTGTGCACTGTGGGCCCCCCGCTACCTGTATTCTGCAGGGGGCCCAGCACACTTGAAATATACTGCCCAGATGCTCTGCTCTGTCGAAGTTTCGAGAGCGACACGATAGTCAGAGTGGCGCCATGGCAACTCTCCACACGGCTCTCGAGACTTCAACAGAGCAGAGCATCTGGGCAGTATATTTCAAGTGTGCTGGGCCCCCTGCAGAATACACGTAGCTTGGGCTGCACCATTCCTCAGGACCTCTGGCTCCAGGGCTCCAGCCAATGTGATCTCCCCCTCCCTGGCCACAGGTGAGATACAGGGAGGAGGGAATAAAATACAATGAATGGATGGAAAAAAAACTTGTAGGCTTTTCCCCCCACATTTTGCAGCCCCATACATTTACACACACTATACACTAACATTTACACACACTATTCACTAATAGTGATGTGCCGAACGGTTCGCGAACGGTTCGCGAACGGTTCGCCACGGACTCCAGTCAGCAGACACATTCCAGCCAATCAGCAGCAGACCCTCCCTCCCAGACCGCCTCCTGGACAGCATCCATTTTGAATCTGCATTCTTAGTGAGCTGTCCAGGAGGTGGGAGGATCTGGGAGGGAGGGTCTGCTGCTGATTGGCTGGAATGTGTCTGCTGACTGTAGTCCGCAGCGAACCGTTCGGCGAACCGATCGGGACATCACTATTCACTAACATTTACACACACTATTCAATAACATTTACACGCACTAGACACTAACATTTACACACTATTCACTAACACATTTACACACACACTATACACTAACATTTACACACACTATACACTGACATTTACACACACTATTCACTAGCATTTACACACACTATACACTAACATTTACACACACTATTCACTAACATTTATACAAACTACACACTAACATATACACACAATATTCACTAAAGTTTACACACATTACATCCTTACAAAAACATACAATCTGCAGTCACTACACACACTACATCCTTACACAAACACAAACTCTGGAGTCACTACACAAACACAAACACACACACACACACACTCTGCAGTCACTACACACACTACTTCCTAACACAAACACACACTCTGCAGTACCTAAACACACTACTTCCTAACACAAACACACACTCTGCAGTACCTACACAAACACACGCTTTGTAGTCACTACACACACTACATCCACTACACAAACACAGTCTGCAGTCACTATACACACATTAAATACTTACACAAACACACACTATGTAGTCACTATACACACACTACATCGACTACACAAAGACACACTCTGCATCCACACACTGTATTCACTAAACACTACATCCACTACACACACTCTGCATTCACTACACACACACACTACATCCACTACACAAACACACACTCTGCATTCACTATACAAATCACATTTAATACACACAAACACTACATCCACTACACAAACACACATACACACTCTGCATTCACTATAAACACACACTACATCCACTACACAAACACACACTCTGCATCTAATATACACCTCATACATTACACAAATGTACAATCTGCATCCACTATACACACTGCATCTGTTAAACACACACCGCATCCACTTAACACTCGAACTCTGCATCCACTATACACACTGCATCCGTTAAACACACAACGCATCCACTTATCACACGAACTCTGCATCCACTACACACATTCTACATCCACTATACACACACCAGAATCAGTACAAACACTGCATCCCTGTGGGCGGACTCAGGGGGGGCAGCACTTTGGGCAGACTCGGGTGCAGGCACCGGGGGGGGCCAGACCTTGAGCTGTGTCAGGGGCCCCAACATTTCTGATGGCAGCCCTGAATAGATGAATATCATATACATAAATTTTCAGATATTGCTCACCTCAATTAGAGCCTTTCCACTTCATGCTTTAAGGTATAGGAACTTGAGTCAATGTTGTGGGATGACACTCCCCAAAGCAATCTGGTAGGAGACTGAAGATCAAAAGCCTCTTCTGATGTATTCAAATCAAGTTTATTGTAACCCAAAATAAAATATTACAAATACCAAGAGAAAGAAGCAACAAAGTAAATAATATAAAGTCCAATCTTTAGTAGCTGCAAAAATGCATTCTTAAATTCTTATTTCCAGCCTCTGTATTTATGTGAGCATGCCTTAATCTGGCACGATCACATGATGAATGTATATTCCAATTAGAATGTGCTATGGGCAAAGTCCCTTCCTATTCTAGCCTCGGGTGCCATTTTGCCAGCTGTTCTGGCACCTATGGCTGTACCAATGAGCTTTCCTGCTGCCCACAGTATGTGTGCTGACATTTGCCTAACCCTGGAAATGATGCTACAACTCTCGCTCGCCCCTGCCTTCAGAATGCTTTGACATTATCAGTTCACAGTTGAATGCTGAAAAAAAACATAAATGGAAGGGCAAATCACCTCAATTATATTATAAGGGAAGAAATTGAGGAAATACATGCTTAATCTAAACTTATTTATATGGGCTTGTTCGGAGCCTGATTTACACAATACAGACATTGTTGAATTCCATAATATGAATTCATTACTTTGTAGAATATAAATACAAGCAGTTTCTGAACCTAATTGTTTTAAAAACATAGTAGTGAAGGGACTTTGTGTAGGTTATAACATTTTATTTTAAAATGAGTAAAATAATATTTCTACGGTATATAAAATGTTGGCAGTCAAAAAGAGTGTAATTGCACAAGCTGAAAATAAAAAGTTTATTTATGCAAATTCCTAGTATAAAGTTCAAGGATATTGCTCTTAACATTTTACACTTACCTTATTGTGTTGCAAGAAGCTCTGTATTTAATGATTTTTATAACTTCCTTTCATTGATAAGGAAAAAATGAGGGTGTTTAATGATTAAATGAGACAACGCATTTTCGTATATATATATGTATATGTATTCCTACAGCTCTCTTCATATATGCAAAAAAGCAGAATGGGCACAATAATACATGCACTGTGTTATATTTTTCTTGTTGAACCTCTCCTTTCTTCAGGTAATATGAATGCAAGCACTGAAAAGGATTTTGAATCGGCAACAATGTCAACTTATAAACTAAAAAATTTTTTCTACAATTTTAAGTTTATAATTTAAGAATGTAAATCAGAGATACTGATATTTGTAAACAATGTTATTTTCAAAATATGGTATTGTGAAACAGTGTTTAACTTGATAATATGAGAAATTATATATCAAATAGTATTTAATTTTTAAGTAATATTCATTATTTAATTATAAAATATATTACACTCTTATTAGCTCTAATTATTGTTAATTATTGTTATTGTTTTCACTGGTGAATAAGAAATGCAAAATATTTTACAGTTTATGATCAAATCACTTTTGATGGAATAACTATGCAAGTATCTTAATATGTATTGCTTACAGGAAAGACGAGACAGGGGGGATAATATAGAAACATTAAAATACATAAATGGAATCAACACAGTAAAGGACGAGAGTATATTTTAAAGAAGAAAAACTACAGCAACAAGATGACATAGTTTTAAATTAGAGTGCCAAAGGTTTAAAATAATGTCTGTAAGTATTACTTTACTGAGAGGGTAGTGGGTGCGTGGAATAGTATTCAAGCTGAAGTGACAGAGGTTAACATAGTGAGGGAGTTTAAGCCTGCGTGGGATAGGCATAGGGCTAGCCTAAATATAAGGATAAGGACAGGCATTAATGGCAGTATTTAGAAAACTGGGTAGACTTGATGGTCCGAGTGGTTCTTATCTGCCATCACATTCTATGTTTTAATGTTTCTGTGTTTCTTAGTAAAATTCTTCATAATATCGCATTTTGTATTTAGTATTGATGTATTGACAAATGTACATTCGTAATAATACTTTTTAGAATTAAATAAATGAATCCACATGGCAATAGGAAGTGTTACCATAGTTTTCTTCTTTTCCAGGATTTACAGTAGCCAGTACTAATTCCATAACAGAACCAGGTATGTTATTCGCAATTGTTCTAGGGATTTCCAATTGTATAATTTTTTCTTTAGGAGGGCTCAAAATGTATTTAAAAAAAATGACTCATACTATAGAACAGTCAGTAGTGCAGCTATCTACTAAACTGATTTTAGGCCATAGCCGAACTGGGAATAGAGTGAGGAACATTTTTCTAAATTATCTATTTTGGACAGTAAAATTTGCAGTGCCCTGATCCATTTTCAATTTAGAGAATAACTATTTTTAATAAGTCTGCATTGTGTGTCAAAACATTTATATCAGTCATTTGTAGAATGAAAATGTAAATTGATCCAATACTTTTTATAAATCAATGTGTGCAAGAACAAATGTTTGTGACTAATTTTAAACACTGATTGCAATCATTTACAAAGATGGTAAGAAAAGTATGCTGTATCTCACTGGAAATAAGTAGCTCCTCCGTTAGATGCTCACCCAGTCTCCACTCCTTCAAAAAATCGTTAAAAACCCACTTCTTCATAAAAGCGTATCAATTAAACTGTTAATAGCCCCTGACTGATTCCTCTTCTGCAACTGTCACTAGTCTAATACTATCGTTACCTTTTTGTGT